TAACAGGTGCAGATGGCATCACCTGGAGCTTGAGCAGCTGCATGAGGGTATCAAAGACCATGGCCATGGACAAACTAAGAGGGCAGAAGTCCAAGAATGTATTCCATAGAGCCAGCCAAAAAACTTTAACGTAAAAAATACAGCAAAACCAGTTACCACTAATTTAAAGAAAATAAATATTGTGAGAGATGAAAAATCTAATAGAGTGGGAAAAATCTTCTGTAGGTATACAAAAGGAGCTTGCACATTTCTCAAAAAGTTTTTATCTTTAATCTCTACAGAAACAGCTGATTTTTCAGCAGTGTCATAAAAATGAACCAGTTAACAGTGGTGAAGCTACAAGATTGATGGCTCAGCTGTAATGCACTGGTGATGTATCAAATTGCCCCCAAAGACCAACAAAGTAAATATTCTATACAAATATATAGATAAAACAAAAGAGATATACATGTCTTTTTCAACCCTGGTATCCTCAGGGTATATGAGGTGGATGAACCTAGAACTTATTATACAGAGTGAAGTGAGTCAGAAAGAGAAAGATAAATATCGTATTCTAACACACACATACAGAATCTAGAAAAATGGTTCTGAAGAATTTATTTACAGGGAACAATGGAGAAACAGACATAAGAGAACAGACTTAAGGACATGGGGAGAGGGGAGGAGAGGGTGAGATGTATGGAAAGAGTAACACGGAAACTTACATTACCATATGTAAAATAGACAGCCGCTGGGAAATTGCTCTATGGCTCAGGAAACTCAAACAGGGGCTCTGTATCAACCTAGAGAGGTGGGATTGGGAGGGAGGTTCAAAAAGGGAGGGGATGCATGTATACCTATCTATGGCTTATTCATGTTGAGGTTTGACAGAAAACAACAAAATTCTGTAAAAGCAATTACCCTTCAATAAAATAATAAATTAAAAAATGAACAAGAACAAAAGAGAGCTAAGTATTCACTCTAAAACATAGGGGAACAAAAACAAAATTAAGCAACCCCCCCAAAGGAAAACAGTAATTAAGAAAAGCCTTAAATAAATCAAAAGAATATAATAGGAGTTTAAAGAAAACAAAGAGCTGATCCTTTAAAACGACCAATGTCACAGATAACTCCCTAGCAAATGAGATAAAGAAGAGCTAAAAGACATATATATTCTCACACACACACACACACACACGCACACACGCACACATATACAGAGAGAGAAGACAGAATGCGAGTCATTCCCAGATAAGGCAGTGTTTCAAAGTAGTTATTGTAGGATATTATGCATAACTGTATAGCAACATAGTTTATATTGATGTGAAACAGGTGCTTCCCTAGCAGAATTTAAATTTACAAACTTAATACAGGAAAATACAGATGGAACAGAATAATGAATGTGGAAGAGACCGGGGGGGGGGGGGGGGGCGCAGGGAAATGACATAACAACAAATACAAATAGAAAGACTCAAAGTTAAAAAGAAAAGGCACGGTCCACAGATCTCAGGGCCTAAGGAACAACTGTAGTGAATTCTCTGGGTTTCCTTTTCCCTCACATGTATCACAAACAGGCCACTAGAGAAGCTTATAACTCAGAACCATCAACAGGCACAGACAACAAACCTCTAAGAAAAGCCTGCACCCCTTAATCAAAGGACCAACAAAAGAGTCCTAACTGAGTATATCCATCCTACTCCAGCCAAACACTAACAGAATACGCATTCTCTTCAAGCACCTGTGTGACACTCTTCAGGGTCATAAAACACACCTTAACAAATTGAAATCATACAGCTTATGTTCTCTGATTATAATAGCATCAAACTAGAAATCAACAACAGGTAACAGGAAAGTTGCCAAACTTTGGAAATTAAACAATACATTTCTATATAATCCATGGATCAAAGAGGAAGTCTCAAGGGAAATTAAAAAGTAATGAATGAAAATGAAAATACAACATATCACAATTTGGGATGCAGATAAAGCAGTGTTGAAAGGTAAATTTATAATCCTAAATGTTTATATTAGAAAAGAATTAAGGTATTAAATCAATAAGGTAAGCTCCCACCATAAGATACTAGAAAAAGAAGAGCAAAGAAAACCCAAAGCAATCAGAAGGAAGCAAGTAATAAATCTAAGAGTGGAAATCAATAAAATTGAAAATAGAGAAAGATCAATGAAACTAAAAGCTGGTTTGTTGAAAAGACAATCAAACTGGTAATCCTCTAGCAAGACTGACAAAGGTAAAAAGAGAGAAGACACAAATTACCAGTATCAGAAATGAAACAGGAGATATAACTACAGATTCTGCAGTCATTGAAAGTAAGGGAATATCACACACCACCTTATGCACACAAATTCAACAACATGGATGAAACAGTCCAATTTTCCCACAAAACATAGACTCCTACAATTTACCCACTATTAAAATATGTAGGTACTCTGAACAGACACTAAATAGATAACCTGAACAGTTATTTAACTGCTGCAGAAATGGAAGCCATGATCAAAAGCTTCCAAAGGGAAACTTCCAGGCCCAGATGGTTTCACTGGAGAATTCTTCTGAACATTAAAAGAAAGAAATATCATCTACATAATCTCTTTCAGAAAATAGAAGAGGAGAGAACACTTCCTAACTCAGTTACTGAGATAAGTATTATCCTAACACTAAAACCAAAGACAGGACAGAAAAAGAAAACTACAGACCAATGTCTGTCACAAACTTGGACACAAAAATCCTCAGAAAAAGCATTAATTAATAATTCCTGCAATATATATAAAAAAGAGTTATACACCACAGGCAAGTGAAGTTTATTCCAGGAATGTAAGTCTGGTTCAATATTGAAAAATCAGTAAGGGGATTCCCCCATATTAACAGACTAAAGAAGAAAAATCATATAAATTCATACGGTATTGACAAAATTCAACACTCTCTCACCATAAAAGCAGACAGACACATAGACAAATGGAACATAACAAAGAATCTAGAAGTAGCTGCACAAAAGTATGGCAAATTTATTTTTGACAAAGGTGCCAAAGGAGTCAGTGGAGGAACTGCAGTCTTTTTAACAAACAGTGCTTAAGTAACTGAACATCAAATATATGCACCTCGATCTAAGACTCACCACTTCATACAAAACAACTCAAACTGGATCATGGGCAGCGGAAGAAGAAATGAATAAAATCATTATCACAGTGAAGACTTAATCTCTCCTTTCTCTGTAAGAGAAGCAGCAAACAAAAAAGTACAAATTTTGTACAACACAAGTGATAGCTAAACAATTAAATATTATTTTCGAATTATACATGGAACATTCATTGAAAATTCACCAAGGACTAGGCCATGAGTCCCCTCAGATTTCAAGAAATGAGCTTCATGCAGACATTTTTCTAACCAAAGAAAACTTAGAGGTCTAGCAAAAAGATAAACTTTTGTAAAATGAAAGCGCACTTCTAAATAATCCATGGACCGACAACAACAAAAAAAAAATCCACTCTTAGAAAACACTTAGAATATAAAGCACCGAACCCCGTGGGTCTCAGAGTGAACTTTAAGATCTTAACATTGATACGAGAAAAGAGGAAAGCCTGAAAAATAAAAAGCGAATCATCCAGCTATATCCAGACAACCGACTCCACCACTGAGCAGACAGAATTCGCCACCACTCACCCTCCCCGGATCCCCTTTACCTTCGCACCGCTCGGACACAGAGCACCGGGATCCTCTTCACAACAACTATTAAACCGCGGCTGAAAACTGCAGCCGCTTCCGGTCACCAGCCCTAGCACCGCCCCTTCTCGGGGTTTGGGTGGGAGGTTCACACGAAGGGGCGTGGCTCTGCACAGGCGCAAAACCGCGTTCGAAGCCGCAGTCAACCAACAGTCAACACCGCCCTGTTACGGAGTCGATGTTTTGGGGCATTCAATGCCCCTCGGCGGCGTTGTCAGGCTGGGAACGTGGCCGCGCCAGAGTTGCGATTCCCCGTGGGGTACGCCATGTTGGAGGAGTGTCCATTCCGTACAGAGGATGAGGAAGCCTCTGCTCACGTTGCGGGAGCGGTGGCCCTGCCTCACAGGTGGTGGGGAGCAAGAATGGGCGCGTTTCTCTGGCGGGCTTCTTGGAGAAAGGGTGTTTGGCTCTGAGCTCTATGGATCTGTGTAATGATGTTCAGAGAAGCTGAGAGGCCTCTGGGAAGACAGAGAGATGCCGGTGGCTGTTATCTCCTGGCAGATAACAGGGGATGAGAAGTCGGACTGCTTGCAGGCTCCTCCTGGAACATACCACGAGGGGCGAAAGGGAAGAAATCAGGGACCTACAGGCCCTCCTAGGATACAGCACTGGAGGAAAAGGGGAAGGAGCCAGTGTAAGCTTCCCCTCTGCTGGGCTTGTGGGGTTGGCTGTGGGATTTGGATGCTCCCAAATCGACATTATCGACATACCCACTCCAGCCACCCCAGCTAAAAGAAGTTTATACCAATTTTTAAAAAAATTTCCCTTACTCTAATACAGTATGTCAATAAAGGTATTCTAGGGGAAATTGCCTTTATTTTTTCATAAAATAAAATGTATATAGATCCATCCGAGTCCGAGAGCTGGCGGCGCGCTCTCTGCCACCGTGCTCCTTCGACCGAGCCTCCCCTGATCCCCCAGCCCCGGGCTCGCGGCACCCTAAGCAGGCAGCCTAGGGGAGGGGGCCGGGGTCGTGGAGCCCCCAGCCCCCGGCCTCCCGACGGAGACCAAGCTGGAACCGCCGCCGCACCGGTGGGTCCTTGACACAAGATTTTAGCATGAAGAGTTGTTGTCAGACCTGTCTCCCCAACTAACCACAGGCCTCCTGGACACAGCCGTCCACACAGGATGCCTCACGTTGGCTTGCAACCATCCCTCGAGAGCCCAGCTGCCGTTTTTTTAGTGTGGCACCAGGGCTTTCGTTCAGGCTTTCGTTTTGTTGCAGCTGCTACTTTGTATTTATTTATTTTCTCTCTTTGAACCTGGACTTTGCCCCACGCCTGCTGGCATGATGGCCCAGTCCAAAGCCAACGGCTCGCACTATGCGCTGACCGCCGTCGGCCTCGGGATGCTGGTCCTTGGGGTCATCATGGCCATGTGGAACCTGGTCCCTGGGTTCAGCACTGCGGAAAAGCCGGCTGCTCAGGGGCACAAGACAGAGGTAGGAAGCGGCATCCTTAAGAGCAAGACCTTCTCCGTGGCCTACGTGCTGGTCGGGGCCGGCGTGATGCTGCTCCTGCTCTCCATCTGCCTGAGCATCCGGGACAAGAGGAAGCAGCGGCGGGGCGAGGAGCTGGCACACATCCAGCACCCGGGGGTCGAACCACACGCCCACGAGGAGGACAGCCAGGAGGAGGAGGAGGCGGCCTCCTCACGGTACTATGTCCCTAGCTACGAGGAAGTGATGAACACAAACTACTCGGAAGCAAGGGACGCGGACCAGAACCCCCAGATGAGCATCTCTCTCCCCTCGTACGAGTCCTTGACGGGGCTGGATGAGACGAGCCCCACCACAACCAGGGCCGACGTGGAGACCAGCCCAGGGAACCCCCCTCCCCCGACAGGCAGAACTCCAAGTTGTCCAAACGCCTGAAGCCTCTGAAAGGGAGAAGGATAAAATCCGAAAAGCTTCACCTCAAAGACTTTAGGATCAACCTGCCGGACAGAAACGTGCCTCCTCCCTCCATCGAGCCCTTGACACCCCCCCCACACACACACACACACAGTACGATGAGGTCCAGGAGAAGGCCCCTGACGCCCGGCCCCCCGACTGACGGCCCCTCCCAGGCAGATTCCCTCCTGTTTCTCGTCCTCTGCACCAACAGACCCTGAAGGAAGCCACTTCAGCCACAGTTGAGAAGCGGAGGGGCCGGGTGTGTACTTAGCTATTTGGATGGGGCCAGGAGCTGAGGGCGTTCTAGGACTGGGGAGTGACTCTGCGGTCCTTAGGACCTCCAGTCACAGGTGCATTGGAAAGAGCTGCTGCCTCAGATCTTGTGAAGCTGTGACCCCATCCAGGGAAGCAGTGCCGGCATCTTCCCCTTTGTCCTTCCTTGACATTGAGTTGCTGGGGACAATACTACTCCTTCTACTTAGGAAAGGATACGTAGCAACTGGCTTAGATCATGGCTTTGTTTTGCTTCCACTAGGACTGTTTTGTTTCCAAAAGAAAATAAATTATGCCTTCACTTTCTCCCTGGAGTCCTGCACTGTGGGTAGGAAAGATGACCAGCTTTGCAGAAAGGACATGCCCATGTCATGAATTAAGCTGAACAAGAGGCTGGATGATTACATGGGGGTGAGACCCAGGTGGGGTTCTCAGAGCCCCTGATGCCATCAGTTGTTTTGAGGCCTCAAGACCTAAGGATGCATAAAATCCTAGTCTTATTGGTAGACTTTTACTAGTCTCTCCTATGTATTGGCAAAAAAAAAGGAAAGCCATCTGAGATGTTCTGTTCCTTCTAAAATGCCGTGCAACTGAGCTTTTTGTAATAAAATATTTTATATGTCGTAAAAAAAAAATAAAATGTATATAGTAGTAGTGCCCTTACTTTGCAAGTGTAGCTTTAAGACAAGACCGCTTCTGCCCTTTAACCAGTTTGTTGCCCCTTGTCACCTCGAGTAAGGAAATCCTGGAGATGCCCTTGCCCTCTGGGAGATGTCACTGGGGCAGATGAAGAAGAAGTCATGCTGCCTTTCTCCTGGGAAAGCCTGCGTATTCTTCAAAACCAAGCTCCAATATCTCCTTCATGGAATCCTCCTGACAGAGGTAGAGGGCTCTGTATCCCACTGCAGGCCCTTCTGAATCCTCAAGTAAGGAAGGTGTTTCGAAGAGCCCAGGTGTGAACTTGCTGGATGCGCTCAGTCTAGTGGCATTCCATCTGGGCCTCGGTTTAACAATCTGGAATATACGGGTGTCCTATTCCAATTAGCCCGAGAACATCTGGGATTAATCTGTAGTCTCACAAATTTATCAGTCAGTGAGGGAGACCACACACCAGAGGAACCATGGAGTGGTTCACTAAACAAAAGAAAAAATGGAGTTATGAAATTCTGAGGAATGGTGAAGTTCAGATGAACTGTGAATGAAGCAGTGTTTTGGTAAACTCAAAGCAAAGCAGGGCCGTATGTGGACTATAAAGTGAATTCAGAATCCTGTTTCCTTGGAAACCACAAAGTTAAGATAGATATGGAATTTTCTATCTAGATACCCCGCTGTCTCTGCACTGGGGTTGGACACCTTAGCTGCTCTTGTGTGTGTAAGTGACTTAAAATCTTCAGCAAGAGTGTGATGTTTTTATCTGTACTGATATCAAACAGTTTCTGATACTTTATGATGGTAGAGAACCAAGTTTCTCAGTGAGTAAAAAAGCAGCAGTCCCTCAAAGCAGGAGTTCTTTATGGTATTACAGATACAGGACGTCCTTGAAAGAAATAATATTTCCTATTAATTTTCATCTGACTTTATCTGTGTCTGTTCCCCCAGCCTTATGAATGGCAGAGCATACTTTTACATTCTTAGCTAATTTTTACTTTCTTAGATGGTTAGAGTCTCTGATTATCCCAGATTCTCTTTCTGCCCCTATAGTCCTGGTCTGGGTGTTTGTTTGTTTTTCATTTATTTTTATTAGCTGGAGGCTACTTACTTTACATCATTGCAGTGGTTTTTGTCATACATTGAAATGAATTAGCCATGGATTTACATGTATTCCCCATCCCGGTCCCTCCTCCCATCTCCCTCTCCGCCCTATCCCTCTGGGTCTTCCCAGCGCACCAGGTCCGAGCACTTGTCTCATGCACCCAACCTGGGCTGGTGATCTGTTTCACCCTAGATAATATACGTGTTTCGATGCTGTTCTCTTGAAACATCCCACCCTCGCCTCCTCCCACAGAGTCCACAAGTCTGTTCTATACATCTGAGTCTCTTTTTCTGTTTTGCATATAGGGTTAACGTTACCATCTTTCTAAATTCCATATATATGTGTTAGTATACTGTAATGGTCTTTATCTTTCTGGCTTACTTCGCTCTGTATAATGGGCTCCAGTTTCATCCATCTCATGAGAACTGATTCAAATGAATTCTTTTTAATGGCTGAGTAGTATTCCATGGCGTATATGTACCAGAGCTTGGGTGTTTGTTGAATGAATCCATGAAAGAAGAAATGGAATCAGTGCAAGCATGTTTGGTATGCATACTAGTCTAATACAGCACCAGGAATCATTGTTAATGTCAGTGTCATAATAGTACTGTGGTTATGTTTTTAAAAAGCTAAGTCTATTAGACTATTTCAGAGAAGAAAGAAGGAGCCAATAATCATATGAAGAGATGTTCAAAGTCATTAGTGATCAGGGAAATACAAATAATGAGATAACATTTTACACCCATTCAACTTGCAAAAATTATGTCTGACAAAACAGACTGTTGGAGAGGATATATAAATACAGGATCTTCTTGCCCTGTTGAAGGAATGTAAATCAGTGTGACCACTTCAGAAGATAGTGGGCCTTTCTTCCTGCAGTGGATATTTCCAGTCCTCACATTCTATCCTGTCCATGCTTAGGAATATATCTAAGAGAACCACTTGCACATGAAACGTAGAATATGCATGGTATCTTGTTCACGATAGCAAAACCTGGAAACAAAAGTGAATGGAGTCAAAATGAATGAACCAGAACAGTACCCAAAAATAGGGATGAATTTAAGGGGGGAAAAAAAAACTGTGATTCCCGAAATAGTATAAAAAGCGTAACACACTTTTATAAAATTAAAAAGAATTACTTAGGATGTTGTATAGTTGTGATAAAATTATATTAAAAGGAAATAAAAAATTGGTGAACTTGGTATTAAGGATGATGTTTACCTCAGTTGAGGACAGGCAGGGCAAGGAATTGAGGAAACACGTGGTTAGATGGAATTATTGTTAAGGCCATACCTTTTCTTTTGGGTGGTAGGTGCATCAGTGCTAATCATATTATTAAAATTAACTTAATGTTTAAATTAATCTGGAAAATTAAATTGTTAGATGTTGAGATGGACAGGAAAGCCGGGCATGCTGCAGTCCATGGGGTCGTGAAGACTCAGGCACGACTTGGTGACTGAACAACAACAACGAACTTAGACAAATATCTAAATGTAAAAAGAGAAAATCTGCATGGAGAGAAGTACAGTCCTGTCCTTGAATGGGCTAAGAAAATCTTTGGCCCCAGCCCAGAGACGCCACCCAGTGGTGGGATGATCAAGAAGGCAGGCGCTCCATGGCCTTGACAATTACTGTGGCCCCTGCCAAAGGTGCTCTGCCTCTAAGGCTCACCCGGTCACACCACTCATGAACTTGCTCAAATGTCTTTTTTTCTTTTTAAAAAATTTATATTGAAATGCAGTTGATTAGCAATGTTGTATTAGTTTCAAGCGCACAATAAAGTGATTCAGTTATACAGTCATTATTTTTACATTCTCTTCTATTATAGGTTATTACAAGATACTGAATATAGTTAGTTCCCCGTGCTATCTATATAGTAGGTGCCTGTTGTTTATCTATTTTATGTATGGTAACGTGCATCTGTTAATCCCATACTCCCAATTAATCCCTCCCACTTTAAAAGTGAAAGTGAAAGTCACTCAGTGGTGCCGACTCTTTGCGACCCCACAGACTATACAGTCCATGAAATTCTCCAGGCCAGAATACTGGAGTGGGTAGCCTTTGCCTTCTCCAGGGGATCATCCCAACCCAGGGATCGAACCCACGTCTCCTGCATTGCAGGCGGATTCTTTACCAGCTGAGCCACAAGGGAAGCCCTCCCGCTTTGGTAGCCATTAATTTTGAATCACCTGGTAAATAGGCCAGAGTAGCTCATCCAGATGAGGACTGTGTTGCTTCTGGTGTCCAAAGAGGCCCTAGGTGTTGTCCCTCCTTTTTGCTTATGGAAGAGCCAGATGCAAAACTTATCCTTCAAGAGGTTAGAAGGAGTATCTCAACAAGCCCCCCACCACTGGACCCCTAGTAATCTCACTGAGATAGAAGGCCCCTAAATTTATTTTCAGGTTCATTTCCCATCTTCTGACACACAAATATCTTATCCACAAGTCTAGAGTAGTCGCTCACTCTTGTCCATTAGGTCTAATCAGCATAATATCCATGTAATGGACCAATATGGGGTTCCCAGGTGGCGCCGGTGGTAAAGAACCTGCCTGCCAATGCAAGAGATGTAAGGGACATGGGTTCGATCCTTGGGTTGGGAAGATCCCCCTGGAGGAGGTCACAGCAACCCGCTCCAATATTCTTACCTGGAGAATCCCATGGACAGAGGAGCCTGGCAGGCTACAGTCCATAGTGTCACAAAGAGCCAGACATGATTAAAGTGACTGAGCATGAAGACATGTGATGTGATGTCTTGTGGAAGGGAAAGTTGACCAAAATCCCTACACACTAAATTATGACATGGGACTGGAGAGTTGATCTACCTCTGAGGCAGGACAGTGCAGGTATATAGCTGGCCTTGCCAATGGAAAGAAAACTGCTTTTGCTGGTCTTTACTAACAGTACTGATTTTTAAAAAGGCATTTACCAGGTAAGTATCTACATGCCAAGTATCAAAGGATGTGTTCATTTGGTCAAGCAACAAAACTGTATCTGGTATAGCAGCTGCTGTTGGAGACACTACCTGGTTAAGTTTTAGATAATCCACTGTCCTTCTCCAAGATCCTTTTGTCTTCTGCACAACGTGACAAATAGGCACATTGAATGAGGATGTAGTGGAACCACCATCCCTGCAT